AAGAAATCCTAGAGAAATATCTTGCTAAACATGCACTGAACCAGCCTAATAAATTTTTGAGAGGAGCTAATCATGTATGTTGCATTTTTTACGATACTTTTTACTAAGCGGACTTTTCTTATTAAATTCTAAATGAAAATCGTTACTTTTGAAAGTTGATAAAATACTCTAAACTTTCCTTACTTGACAAATCTACTATTTGGAGTTCAACTCTTGGCAATACATTGTAGTTTCAGCATAATGATTGTTCGAATCATTCCATTGTCACCACTGTAATGTTATGCCCCAGAAATCTTGTGAGATTTAGAGCTTCCTTGACTCCCATGCTAATTAAAGAGCGGTTGTAAGTTAGATAATTGTGAGATACTCGCAATACTACGTATTGCAAAATACTGGTACTTTTAATTCAATTCACATGTGCTCACCTTTAAAATGCATTCACAATTCTTTATAAAGTTGGTGACATTATGTATGAAAATATAAAGTCTAGTCACATATTTAAAGTATGCTTGTGGTACATGTATGCATTTTTTTTTTCTTGAACAGTAAAGGAAGGGATGAGAGAGTTCATTGAGTGCCATAAACTTTCATTTGTATGTTATTTTTTAGAGATGGAGTAGTACACAAGCACAATTTTTTAAAGAAAGAAAAGTCAATGGAATGAAGAAAAGGTGAAGTGAATTGTCACTCATTATATTTTAAATTTAATGTGGACATGGTCATTATTTTAGTTATGTCATAACCTTCTTATCAATTTTAAGCAGTGCAGATAGATGCATTTCTTATTGCTTTGAATAGAATAAATTATGAAAAAAGTTTGTATATGTTTTTTGATATAGAATTTATATTAAAAAAAAAATTATCAATTACTGCAGTTTTGAATTTCAGTACACTAGAAATTTTTCTGCCCTGCCATGAATATGGCTGGGGCATATAGAGTTTGTCATGTCCGTCTTCCGTCCTTTCAACCTTCTGTCTGTCCTTCCATTCTGCTTTGCTTTTAGCTCAGTTCAAAACTAAGTTTCAAAGAAACTATTCAAGATATTTTTATCAATCTTCATATGCTGATACATATTGAAAAGAGGTATTCAATTTCATCAACGTACCTTGACCTTTCCTTTAACTTTGACCTCACTTTTCTTAAATTAGTGTTTAGCTCAGTTTTAAAGAAACCATTCAAGATAGTGTAATCAAACTTCATATGCTGATACATACTGAATCAACATTTTTTTACCTTGACCTTTCCTTTGACCTTGACCGTACTTATCTTAAATAAGTGTTTAGCTCAGTTTTAAAGAAACCATTCAGGATAGCGTAATCAAACTTCATTTGCTGATACATACTGATGAGAGCTATTCAACTGCATCAACATTTTTTGATCTTGATTTTTCCTTTGACCTTCACCTCACTTTTTCTAAATTAGTGTCAAACTTCATATTCTGATACAGACTGATGTAAGGTATTTGACTGTATCAACATTTTTGACCTTGACATTTCATTTGACCTTGACTTCATTTTTCTTGAAATGGTGATTAGCTCAGTGTTAATTAAACGGTTTCCATTCAAAATATTTTTATCAAACTTATTTTGCTTATGCGTATTAGTGAGAACTATTCAACTGCATTAAAAATGTATGACCTTGAACTTTCCTGTGACCTGGACCTCACTTTTCTTAAATTTGCATTTTGCTTAGTTTTAAAGAAACCATTAAATATAATTTTATGTGAGCTTATGCACTTAACAGAATTTGGTGGGAATTTATCATCTATATCCAACTTTTTCGATTTCAATGTTAAAGAAACTATTTTAAGATATTCGCATCAAATTTCATACACTAAAAATATTTTTATGTTGCATTACTAATATGCCCACATGGTGCAGTGGTTAAAGCTCTAGAGTTGCGGAGTAAGGAGTTGATCCTTATGTCGCTGGTTCGAATCCCACTGTGGGACGTGGAGACTGTATAAACCGAGGTCCCATGTCACAGTAGGTGCTGGCATAAAAAGATCCCTCACTGCTTAATGGCCCTTAGTGCCGAGTATAGGTCAAAATTTGCAGCTCTCCACCAGCAAGTGGTGGCATCTCCATATGAGTGAAAAATTCTCGAGAGGGATGTTAAACAATAAACAAGCAAATAAAAATTAATATACCCTCAGCGGGGCATTCATGTCCTATGGACATATTTCTAGTTTTGCCCTTTTTTACATTTGTACATGGATATACTTTTTATTTTTGCTCTGTAAACAACAACAACAAAAACATTATACCATATAATATGCACAAAATTATATGCTAGGAATGTATTGTGAAAGATGCATTTCAGCTGACAAATGTAGCATCTTTAAGCCAGCTTTTTAAAAAATTTTCTGAATGACTTTCAGGTACTTCTTTTATATTTGCAACTCATTTATAGGGATGTATTAGTATGGTAGCCTGTCTGCCAACACCTTGTAGATGAGATTCTAGCACATATTGTGTGAAATGGTTCTCTTAATTGACATGAGAAGGTCACTATTTTTTATCAAGATAAAAATTACTTGTATGTCTTGTAATAACATTATTTAATATATCCCTTTCATAGCACACATGTTCGTTTCAAAGAGAAGAAAACATTTATAATTTTTCAAGGTCAATAATCTCATGGATGAAATGCAAACTGTACTATTTGAAATAGGTGGTGTAGGTATTTCAGAGTCTGTATTACAGCTTGCCAGTTTATTGTTGGAGGAATATTCTCATCAAATAAACTATGTAAAGATTTGCTTTTTAATGCAAAGTATTTTTATAAGTAATAACTTCATTTCAACTTACAATGAACAGTTAATCAGTGCATCTCACTTTGTATCTAATGCATTTTTAGAACACAAATTTGTGGTTTAAAACATGTTGTAATAGTTTAATAAATAAATGCTATTCATTTTTTTTAATTGACAAGAAATGAAAATGTAATGATTATTTCAAAATAGTGTTTTATTCCTCTTGTGTATATTTATAGATATGTAAAAGATTGTTATTTTTATTGATGTTATTTTTGTGTACAAAATACTAGTTATTTATTACTTTATACAAAACTAATGTTGTGAAGATTGATAATAATAGAAGTCCTTATGCATGTATTGAACAGTATACAAATGTCACCAATGTAATACACATTTACAAATAAAATGAAATTTTACATGACTTGCACATATTTGCATTATTTGTTACAGTTATAACAAATCTAATTCATTGTATTTATTGTTTCCAATTTTTATTGTCTATTCAAACATGGAAAAATTATATGTGTAATGATGTTAAAGACACAAGAATATGAATTAAAATAAGACTGTATGAACTACCTTTAGATTTATGAATTCAGTAGACAGTGACTGTGACAAATGTGTATTTAGGATAGAGATCTTAGACATGAGAAGAAAAGGGGTTGTTTTACAAACTTTTTTTGCATGGGGAAATATTGACATTTTTATACAACAACAAATGAAGTTACTGGAATTGTGAAGTCTACGTGTCTTCTGTGAGTAGACATCTTTTGAAACAAAGGTAGCTTGGGGCCAGAAATATTCTAGACCCAGTAGTAATGGTCTTTTGCACAAGGTCATAGTCACTGTATATCAAAGTATTAAATACTTACCAATAATTGTTTGTAACCTCAGAGTATGATCCTAACACAGGTTAATACAGGTCAAGGCCATAGGGTTTAGAAATGTAATGAATATTCAGATAAACACATAATTCTGTTTGTTTATTTGTTTGTTATACATCCTTTAAGAATTTTTCACTAGTATTGAGACACCACAACTTGCTGGTTGAGGGCTGCAAATATAGACCTGTACTTTTGAGCAGTGAGAGGTCTTTTCTTGTCCCAGCATATACTGCAACAAGGGAATTTGGTTTCATTGGAAGAACCGGTTTCCATGTCCTTCAGTGGGATTTGCACCTATGACTTAAGGAACAAGTCCTTACTCCACTACTCTAGAGCAAATGCTTTGACTACTGTGCCAAGCGGGCAATCACATTATTGTTATACTAGATGTAAATCAAGGCGAAGGGATAATTGTGACTTGGGGATGTATAACAACCCTGCATCAAGTTCAATTTTTGACCGCTATAAAATAACTTCCAAAGATTATATTATCCTAGGGTTCATTATGCTCAGAGTATATGACATAAATTGGATATATAAAATTCTAAAATACAATTTTTTTTTTTTTAGAAAAGTACAAGGTTATAGTTTCAAGAGGTCATATCTAGCATGTACAGGTGATCGGGCTTAGATGATGATTCTATACCATAAGTCATCATGTGACTACGACGTTTTAAATCAATGTGTTTCTTTGGTGGTGGATGAAATATTTTCTTAACAATTACTATCGGTCATTTACTATATTTCCATAAGATTCAGGACATGAAAATTTGTCTACGAATAGACATCACCTATTAGTTCCTTCTAGTTAAAATAAGGAATCACCATACTAGGTTTTAAAGTGCCTAATATTTTACTTAAGATAAATGCAAATTGACCAATAAATACTGGTATGAGAAGTACATTTATGCATGTGTAGTTTTTTATTTAAATAATTAGAAAAAAGAAAATGGTCTACATAATCACGTATATATATATATTCTGGTCTCCTTTATGCATTATATATACTTGGTCTACTTTAACCCTTCGGGATCCTCAGAAAATATATACATGTCTACCTTAAACCTCCAATGTATTTACAAAATATTAAGGAGACCAGAAATGTCGTATATTTTTCAGGAAGCAACATTTAGGGCTGAGGGGGTAAAATTTTCATTATTGAAGCCTATTAGAATAAATTTGGGTGAAAGTGTGAATCAGAATGTCTCAAATAAAAGAAATGAAAAATGTCTACTTAATGCCTCAAAATAAGTGCGGTCTACTTTATGCCAAAGTCCACCTTATATATATATATATATATATATATAAAACATTTTGGGATTTTCTTCTGATTTACAATACAATTTCATTGATTTAGGTTTATCATCAATTACACAAATTGCTGCTAGCTGTGGGGATAGAAATTTCAACCAGTATGTGCTGCCAACTGAAGAGATTAGCCAGTCTGCTTCATTGCAACAACTGGAATATCCTTTGATGGTGTTGCACTTTACAAGGAAGGAGTGAGACCTGATGCTCTACCACTATCTGAGGCATTTTCCAGATTTTCTATTTGGCTACAAGAGTACAATAACCCAGTTTTGGTATCTCACAATACCAAGTCCTTTGATTCTGTTGTTTTCATGAACAATGTATCTAAAACCAGTATAAATTTTGATCTCACAATTGGATTTGTTGACAGTTTACCACTTTTCAAAAACTTATTACCAGGCAAGAAAAGCTATTCCCAAATGTCACTGGTACATGATGCAGGTTCGTCATATGATGCTCACAATGCTTTGGATGATGCAGTTGCCTTAGAAAGACTTTTGAAGTTTTATTGTGTTTCAGAGTCTACCACGTTGAAATACAGTTTCCCATTGTCTTATGTTTACAGTGCTTTACAGTATAGAGAATTGAAAAAATGTAAATATTAACTCTCTTGCACATTTAATCACATCAAAAGTATTGTCTAAATTCATGGCTGAAAAAATTGCTGCTTCTGGTCTTCTGGTCTTTCTTATCTTATTGACCCCCTAGCCTCCTTAATAGTCTTAAACAAACTTAGTGGTTATATAATTTTTGCAGAATACCAATCTTTATTATATGACTGAATAATTCCCATCTCTCTGATTGGCTGAGATCAAACAATGTTCGAAAATTACTACGTTATATTGACCTGCACGTGACCTTCCAGGTCAATATAAGGAATTATTTATTCTACATTGGACCATATATAGATACTGAAATTCTAAATTGATGCAAATAGTTATTTCACTTGCACCTAACTTCCACATATGAACATAACATTAAGGCACATAGACTCTCGGGTGAGGGTTTGGGGGGGGGGGGTGCAGGAGGTCTGCCCTTCTCCCTACCTTTTCAGAATGTAAAGTTTTAATTTAAATTTTAAGGATAAAGTTTTTCAATGAAGGTTCATCCTCTCTTTTACGGACTTTTACATCCCACCAAATAAAATTTTGAGTTGGGAGAATTCTTTTCCTTGGGGGGGGGGGGGTTATCAAACATTTTTTTTAGGTAAGTTGTCACTTTTCCCCCCTTATAATGCCCCTTTTTCAAAATCACTCATATGTATGCCTGATAATTTTTTTTCCAAATTGCACCTAAACTAGAATTATAAATTCAAAAAAAATACAACTGGTTGTTTTTAACCCTGTTTCTCTCATTATGTTCGGCTAGTACTTCAGTAGACGTGAATAAGTAAGATGGCATGGATTGCTTAATAAGGGTGTGTCATTTTATCATTGAATCATATAATAAAACAATTGCTGCTGTTTTTCGGTCAATACGATGATTTCTCCACCTTCGAAGTACAATATTCACCTCGCCCTTCGGGCTCGGTGAATATTGTACTCCTCAGGTGTCTAAATCATCGTATTGACCTCAAAAACAAGCAATAAGTGTATAATGTAACAATTAAATAACAGTACAATAGCATCTCCATTCATCAATTTACATGCTGTATATTACCATACTTTATCAAGGAGATATCCGCGTTGCCATCAGAGGTAATAATGTCAATTCACAAAAAATGAACTTTAACAATGTCATGAACAGTTTTACATGCAACTATGAGGTATTTCCAACAAAGCATTTCCGACAAATCCATGACCATCATGTGGGCCTTGTCCGTAGACAATCAATCCAAATCGAGATTTGTCCGTTGTTTTCATTTCAATGATTCCACTTTGAACTTCCAATATTACGACCATATAGGATGATTTTCGGAGTAAAGTAACGGAATTAAATATGATTTTTTCTTCATCAATATTCATTCCATTCATACGAAAATTCGATGAAGTCATATTTTGCGAAATTATAACTATGAAACTAGCATTGAATCCGTTCGGTACCATCACTTGATATTCATCCAGATACTGATTTATACCAGGTATTGTAACCATGAAGGGTCCACCATAGCCGTTACTGGTGCCTGTGGTAAAGCTATTAACCAACAAAGGCATATTTGCTTCAATTACAGCAATCTCATTTTTACGAATAGTAAATTCCGTAGGGTTTTTTCGTAGCATTGTTGTTTTTGTAACAACACCTCCAACTGTATATGTAACTTTTGTCATATACGGAGAGATCATGCGTACCAACGTCTGGTGTCCATGCATATTTGGAGGCACTATGTAAGTGTTATCTAATCTTTCCACCGGAACGGCTTGCTCCATAAGATTGCTACATCTTCCTTGATACCCTATTGGACTGCATCTATTCCCCACAAAAACGGCAACTGGGTTTGAAGAATTTACAGTAGTTCCTGTTAAATCTGCTTCATGTACTACTTGAAAAGTTTGGAGTCTATTCAGTTTGATTGTAAATGTTTCACCATTTCTGTATAATTGATTTAGTATCTTTATATTTGAATTATCAGCAATTGATAATTTTATTGCTATGAAAGTATTGTTTATGATCGGAGTAATTACAAAACGACTACCAGAATTAATGTTATAATTGTGGGATGAAGCTGTGGCAACAAGGTAATGTCCTGAAAGTTTATCAGTAGGTATAATTGTTGTACTGTCTGTCAAAGTACTATCTTTGTCAATGGATAATACTGATGCAACGTCTGTAGTTTCTAAAAGTATTGCATCGTTTCGAATGGTAAGGTAAGGCGACACATTTGAAATATGAACATTTAACGTTTTAATTGTTTTGTTTCCTTCTCTGGAAGAGGTGATTTTCACATCCGAACTAGGACCAGAATATTTAGCACTCATACTGAAATTCCCATCTGATACCAGAAGTATTATCCTTTCGGTACTGTTTAGGTTCTGGATAAACGCTATGAGGAATTGTGTACCTCGGCTACCTGAAATGGACATATATATTATATATTTAAACCATGCAGAACTATCTTGAATGAATTCTCGATTATTGCATTAAGTACCCATTATCTTAATGTCACCTTTCCTCTGATCCGGTTGTTGCTTCAAACACTGATGAAGTTCCATCAATGTTTCAGATAAATCTGAGTCTGTAATAAAATAAAAGATAAAGAAATTCATTTGATATCCCTATCAATAGCCTTGTGAAAAAAAATAATTGCATAACGATACAGGTTTCTTTATAAATGTTAACGGGAATCGCTCTGATAATTAGATATACTTCATACTTTTTTTTCAAGATTTCCTGTGCGTGATCAAATTTAATCGCAAAAAATATCATGGTGGTGAAGCAGTTTCTTCTTTCGTACAAAACTTCAAATCATATTTCTTTCAGTTTCACCGTTCACGGTAGCCCAGTCGGTAGAGCTCTCGCTCCATGATCGGGGGGTCGTGAGTTCGAATCTCGGACGCGACTGACCGTAGTCGATAAAAAATGGGTAGCAACTGTTCTTTCGCCATGAGCTCGGCACTTTGAAGTGAAAGTTGTGGTCCTTCGTATGAGACCTTAAAAGCCGAGGTCCCATGCCACGGCAGGCGTTGGCACGATAAAGATCCCTCACTGTTCAATGGCCCTGAGTGCCGAGTAAAGGTCAAAATTTGAAGCCCTTCACCGGTATATTTTGAGGTCTCTATATGAGTGAAAAATTCTCGAATGGAACGTAAAACAACATACAATCAATCAATCAATCTTTCAGTATGCATTTTGTTCTATATTCAGTGTGCAATATACCACCATAAACCTATTCCAGTTATTACAAATATATACTCAACAAAAAAAAAAAACAAAACAAAACAAGATGTGTTTGTGAAATACTGATGCCCCCGTATGGCAGCTTATGACGAAGGTTAAAGTTTATCAAATGCAAGTCAAAATCCAGGCAAAAGATAAAAAATGTTGGTACCCAAAGAAAGGTCTTGTCTGGAGGAATATACCTGTGAAATTTGAAAGACCTAGCTGCAACTGGTCAAAAGTTATGGCAAAGGTAGTTTTTTAAAAGCAAGTAAAACGTCATGGTCAAGGTCAAAGTTGTGGTATCCAAAGGAAGGTCTTGTCACAAGGATTACATATGTGAAGTATGAAAACCCTAGCACCAACCATTCAAAAGTTATGACCAAGGTTAAAGTTTTTCGAAAGTAGGTCAAACTCCTATGTCAAGGTCAAAGGGTCAAAGTGGTTTGAATCCAAAGGAAGGTCTTGTCACAAGGATTATATATATGAAGTATGAAAACCCTAGCACCAACCATTCAAAAGTTATGACCAAGGTAAAAGTTTTTCGAAAGTAGGTCAAACTCCTATGTCAAGGTCAAAGGGTCAAAGAGGTTGATATTCAAAGGAAGGTCTTGTCACAAGAAATACACATGTGAAGTTTGAAACTCCAAGCACCAACTGTTCAAAAGTTATGGTCAAGGTTAAAGTTTTTCAAAAGTAGGTCAAACTCCAAGGTCAAGGTCAAAAGGTCAAAGTTGTTGGTATCCAAAGGAAGGCCTTGTCACGAAGAATACACATGTGAAGTTTGAAAGCCCAAGCACCAACTAATCAGAAGTTATGGCTAAGGTTAAAATCTCATAAAATTTTGCAAAAGTGGGTTAAACTCTAAGGTCAAGGTCAAATATGATGGTACCTAAAGAAAGGTCTTGTCACAAGGAATACACATGTGAAATATGAAAGTCATAGCTCCAACCAATCAAAAGTTATGGGCAAGGTTAAAGTTGACAACAGACAGACAGACAAACAGACAGACAGGACAAAAACAATATACCCCCGGGATCTTTCGATCCCGGGGCATAAAAAAAAAAAGAAACCCATATTTTTTACTCATCAAAGAAATTTTGAAACAGTACATGGAACAACTGTTACTTTTATCATTGGATACCTGTGACCTATTTAAAGAATAACTTAGAATTTTTAAACCCAAGTGTCGAATTGTTTCGCTTGATTAATCATGTTTACGAAAAGAGTGTTTTGCACCATTTCCTGTAAAATCGGGGATCTATTGTCATTGGGATTTAGAGAAACAATAAACACTCCTATTAAACCCACAGTGAAGATTTTATTGCATGTTTGATGCATCAATACCAAGCCTAAACAAAGATAAACGCAATCAGGCTGTAACGATGCTACTAGCCGAAGCTATGCAACAGGTAGTTGCAACTGCATTTGGAGAACATAAACCGATAAAGGTACGTCTCTACCAGCTAGAAAACAGATATCAGACCAAGAACTGGTCGTCCGCGGGTTACCACTCCTTGGCAAGACCGTATAATCTGCCTTCAGCACCTGCGCAATCGATTCAGAACTGCC